ACATCGATGAGAAACATCGATCAGCTGCCTCTTACTGGGGCTGTGCCCACAACCAAAGTATATGACCTTGACCGAAATCGAATCTGGGACCTTTCAGGCCGCAGGCTGACGCTCTATCCACTGAGCCAAACCAGTTTCAGCAGTGCATTTTTTTTTTTTTATAAGTTTAGACACATTCTTTTTTAAAAATATATATTTTATTGATTTTTTACAGAGTAAAGGAGATAGAGCTAGAAACGTTGATGAGAAACATCGACCAGCTGTTTCTTGCACACCCCCCACCAGGGATGTGCCCGCAACCAATGTACATGTCCTTGACCGGAATCGAAACTGGGACCATTCAGTCCACAGACCGACGCTCTATCCACTGAGCCAAACTGATTTCAGCAGAGGCAGTCCACTCTTAAAATGACCTGGGGTTGGGGAGGAATCTCTATATATAAAAGGCTAAGTGTCCATCCATCTGACCAGTGCCTATGATATGCACTGACCACCGGGGGCAGATGTTCAGCCTAAGAGCAGCCATGATGCGCTTTGGCCATTTTAAAATAAATGGCACCATGGACCAAAACTTGGCTCCCCCCAAGTGTAAGGGGACCAGATTGTCACGTTTTTCAACAATTTTTCCTGCATCCGATGGTTTTAAAAAAGTCCCGGTTTACCCAAGTGGGACACAGGCCTTGCCACCACCTTGGAGCAACAACCCACCAAATTGCAGCCAATGCTGCCAAGACCCCATGGCACAAAATGTGGCCCACTGCCCAGCCTGGAAACAGTTGCTGTGGGCGCCAGGTAATGACGTTACATAGCAACACCCAGCTTTCTCTCCCTAGTGACTGGTAGCCTAGTTTCTTCAGCTCAAGAACCTGACCTTCTTTATAGCTAGGTGCAAACATTTTACAGTTTAACCAAATGTCTGTGAAGTGTTTTCTCATGACTCATCTCATTTGATCCTCATCAAAGTCCTGGAGTAGGTAGAGATAGGAGACTCAGTAGAATCCTATTTTCTTTTCATTAGCAAGATGGGAATAGTGATATTAAAATGCTTCTAATGAATTTTCTTCCAATGTGCATGAATTCATGCACCAGGACACTTGTCACTACATAAAACCGTCTATGAATAGTCCTCTCATTGTTTCTCACAACCTCCACCTTCCAGAAACCAAAGACAGGAAGATACGCTTTGAACTACCATCCACTAGATTGTTACCCCAAGCAATAAAGATTGACTATGACCTTTTTAGATAATATGGGTTGTCTGGAAAATATAATATAGAAAATTATTAATACATTTGCAATTTCAGCACAATAAATCTGGATTCCTTGATACCTGATGTTCCAATAATAAACAAAGACATAACATGCTTTTTAAAACTTTATTTCAACATAACTATGCTTACAGAAATACACTCATATTGGTTAATAGAATGCAATTTGTTTAACTTATTTTACATGATTTCGACCAAAAACTTGGTACATGGTTTAAACATAAAAAAAAAAAAGAAAAAAAAAGATTTGCAGTTTTATTTTTCATCTATTACAAATGTATATAAAAGATCCTCCAAAGCTGCTAAAGCAGGCAGCAAGAACCTTGAGAAATTAACCTTTGGTTTGTCTGAAAAAATAACATGTATTGCACTGTAAGTTTATAAAATTGGTACAACATAAACAGTGTTGCAATGTTTCAATGCCAGTTTACAAAGTTCAATAACTAACTAATGGATGCTGAAAAGAGTGGGGAAAGTCTATGTATACATGTGAAACTGAAAAGGTATTTGATTTAGTTAATATTGCATGTAGATTATAAATCTACACAAACCAGGATTCAGATAATTTCCTGAATCTGAATTAACACTATTAGCTGTTTATCTGCTGAGGTCAAGAAGGAAACTCCACACACACTAGCTATTTTTCTGATTTATGCAAAAAAGAAAATTATATTCCTTTCCCAGCTTTTCAGTCCAGAACTGATACACTACAGACAAGGTAGTCTCTTCCATTGTCAACATTCATAGGGTGACATGTAATGAGGTCTACTTGGGTTTAAATATTAGCATTCATATAAAAAATAGTCCCTAAGTTAAAGACCACAGGACTTTAGAAGTGACTCTAAAAAATAAAATGACCCTTCTTGGAAGACTAGTGAAAACATCCAGCCATAGTTATAAGAAACCTTGTAAAAAAAAAAAAATGTTGCCCCTTGTAAATTACACTTTAATAAAATAAAATAAAATAAAAAAGCGCCTGAAAGAAGCAGCTCTGAAAAAGAGGAAAAAATATATAACTTAAAATATATTGAAAACAATAGATTCAAAAGATAGTTAAGAGATACATTTTCATAAGACTACCTAGGATTAGGCTTATAATGTATTCTAGTATTTCAAGTTTATCTCTAGTCACTAAACATCAATTTACAAATAACTTGTTCATTTTTTTTTTTTCCTTTATCAAAAGGGAAGTCTAGCTTAAATTCTATCCAGTGGAGGAGAAAACACAAAGATTCAGTTTCATGCAAATATCACATTTTACAAATGGAAGAACTCCCAACTAGACCAGAAGTTCGTATTATTAATATGCTTTTCACTAAAACAATTTTTAATAAGCACAAATACATGGCATTAAGGTTCAGAACCTAATATAGGCCTGACAATCAAGTTCTTGTTTTCTGGAAGAAAGGCTTGAGAAGCCCTACTCAATTTCTAATAACAATGTTTTCACGGATCAATTTAACAATAAGGGGTTTTAAATTCCTTCATATTTTTGTTTAGCATTCTCATCTTTAAAACTAGATAAGAAAATAAGTCAATCCCCAAGAAGTCAAATGTTTTTCTTTAGTATAAAAGAATCTACAAAAACCTCTCCCCCAAATTGATTCCTAATCTCCAATCTGTACTTAACATGAATCTTTTCATATATAATGTAAAAGGTAACTTACATAAAATGTACCCATGAACATCAAAACTAGTTGTTAGAAAGATTACACTAGCTTTATAATTTAAATTTTAAAACATAAATATTTGCAGCTTGATCTTCTGTTGACAATGATTGTCGGAGCCAAGAATTCACCTAGAATTCAACATCATTTACAAATTTCCATTCATGCACACAAAACACACTATTAACACACAATTTACTCCTATTGTCGAGAGAATCATCTTCTTTGAATCTTTGGCCTCCCAGTCAATTCAAAGTTCAAATGTCTTTTAACTCAAACTTCACTCTTGGATTTTTAACAGGTTTTCCACCCACACTTCATCAACGCTTTTCCCAATCTTTTTCTCATGTGGCACTACCACACTCTGCAACCTACACCTCAAAGAGATCACCAGAGAGAAGAAAATAAATGAAATATAAGATGGTTATTTCAGAACAGGAAATGGAAGATCAGAATTGTTTAAGATTCTCTATTGGGATCATAGTTTATTTTTACTGCAATGAATAACTACTATCGACAAGAAAAATCCTGTTGGATTCTTTCATATTCTTTGGCGACTGGCCAAAGAACCTATCAAAACAAAATAATTTTGGGAGTACACATTTTTTCCTACAAAGAGTAGGAACACCAAGATAGCTGCAATTCATTTGAGGCCTCACCTGTACAAAGAGGCTGTCACAGTGACAGCCAGGAAACCCACTCATGTTTGTGGAGATCCCTGAGATAGTGTGATTTTTAAATCTGGACTGTAATTAAGGTTCACCAGCCTTTTTCATTGTATTCATAGGAAGTTGTGGCTGGTCTATCAGCACTCATACTAACTTTTTCTCATCTAAGTTTTTTGTATAATTATTATGGCTTTGTTATCTCACTATATTCTGTATAATTTGAAGATGTTATGTCTCTGTTTATAATTCCCAAATGTCACAATTCTTTACCCAGCTGAGTAGCCATAGGATACCAACCATCTATGAAAAAAGGTTTTCCTCAAAGATATGACTTAACACTGTACATTTAAGTAGTAGTATACTAAAATAGGCCAATAAATTTTACTTATGGTTGGTATTTGAGAGAAAAATCCATCAATATATTCTAGTGGTTCATTTATTGCAAAGTTCAAATTGAGAGCTGTGAATTTACTACATCCATTTAAAATAAATAACTTATAGGAAATACAGATCTGGTATAGATATGTGAAAATCAATGACTTGAACCTGTATGTTTCATTTGCTCACCAACTTGCACACACTAATATTCTGCAAAAAAGACAACTGCAGCAAAAGAAAAACTGCCCTTTTGCAAACAAAACTAAAAGCATCCCACCAGAGAGGACAAAATAAACATGCATATATATGTATAAAGTGTTACTGTTCAACACAAATGCTACTTTACTACTAGGAAGAAATTTAACTGCATAGGTTAAAAAAAACAACAATGTGCAATATCTTAAGCCATTAAAGCACCAAAATGAAAAATAAAAGAAACACCAAAATCATAGTTTTTATGACAATTAACATACACAAATAAGAAATATTGATCAAAACTCAGGAGTAAATACCTGGACTGAAACAATGTCCATTGCTTGGAGAATTTTTCTTCAATTTAAATGTCTCTTCTCATCTCTAAAAAAATTTTTAAAGTGCTAACTGTATATAAAGCAGGCAAATTCTTCAAGTAATTTGCTATTTAAGCATGCCAATTTTTATAGAGCTACAGAAGAAACTAAGAATAAACTAAACTGAAATAGGAAGACAGACATTAGAGGGAAACTGACAAGTTATAATAGACAAAGCAATAAAATGCTATGCCACCTTGGCCTTCTAGTTTCAATTAAATGTGTAAGCTAACAGATTTAGATGTCTGCAGGTTCAGTACACTAACTCCCTTGGATTTGCTAAAATGGATACAATAGGTAGAGTCATAAGAAAAAGAGTGCCACTTAAAAATCAACATCGGACACTAATTAAAGCAATTTTAAAATTAAATCATTGTCTACTAGTTTAAAGGTATATAAAATGTAATAGGACCTCACAAACTAAGAATTGAAGCCTTTTCCAAAGTTTAATCACTCCTGCCCTTTAGCTGCTTTTTCAAGGAAGTATACATTAACCAAATGGCGATTGAGGTGCTTGCTGTAATCTTTTTCTTTTCTAAAAGAACGATCACAGAAGATGCAAACAAAATCTCCCTCCGCCACCTTGACTGTTGAGGCTTCCTTTGCATTTTTCCTATTAGCTTCTTGTGGAACTGGCCGGGCCCCATTTAATCCAGAATCGTCACTGCCCTCCGACATGTTGTCACTTAGGTCACTTCCATCATGACTATGAATACCTTCATCTTCATCCATTTCCTGAGACTCATTCACTGCCATGGTAACAGGAGGTGATGCTACAGCAGTTTTGGACACTGCTTCTGGTTTTTCTGTTGGCAGAGGAAGCAGTGGTGAAACTGATTCTTCAACTGCTGAGTCTTTCCCAGGGAGATTCTCTGTTGTGTTCTCATCTGCATCCATATGGCTTTCACAAAGCCTAGTGTCAGTCTGATGTTTACCATCTGACGTTTCACCCTCTAGCATATTCAAGTTTTGTTCCGAGGATGAAATAGTGACAGATTCCTTGACAACTGCTAGACTCTTACCTGCCTCTTTTGCTTCTACTTTTTGAAGGGGGGCTTCTTGACTTCCTTCACATTCGGTGAGTAATTTTTGGTCTTTTGACTCCTCTTCTTTTAGGTTTTCCTTTGGCAGCGGTGGTAAGAAATCCTGTGCACTTGCACTTTCCTTTAGAAGTTGGCTCTCTTTAACAGGCACCAAGCCAACTTCAATAAGGACTTGCTCCTTCCTTGCCATTTCACTCTGCATGTTAGACTTTTCCTTCTTATCTTTTCGAGGAGACTTTTTGGGAACTGGAGGCTCCTCCGTAAGAGGCGGCGGCTCCATAACAGGAGGGGGCTCCACGGCAGGAGGCGCCTCCATCTGAACCTCCATGGGAGCGGGCTGTACGGGAGGCGGCTCTGTCTGAACAGGCCCCACCTGAGGCGGCTCCATGGGTGGCAGCGGCTCTGTCTGAGCAGGCCCCCTCTGAACAGTTTCCTTCTGAGCAGGCTTGTTGCTTTTTCTACTTGACTTATTTTTCAGAGTTTTCTTCTTTGTACTTTTTTTCACACAAGTATTTTGCTTTTTATTCTCCTCCACTCTGTTCTCACACTTTGGTACTTCCTGACTATTTTTGGGTTTGCTTTCTGTCTTCTTTTTCTTTTTTGTCACAGGTTCCTTATCATTAACAGGATCTTGTAAGGAATGGGCTTCAGCTTCCATCTTCCTTTTGCCTTTCTTGGTTTTACCGTTTTTTTCTGAATTGGTTCTTGAATGCACATCCATCTCTCTAGCTTCCATCGCCGATTTCCGAGTTCTGGTAGTCACCTGGACTGAAGCGTTACTAGAAGACTTTTTCTCTTTTGAAGCATTATCTTTTTTCTCCACTTTTACAGACTTCTCATTTTTCTTTCCTGCTACATCTCCCTTTACTTTTATCTGCTCTGTTTCTGTTTTTTCATTGGTATTACTGTTATCAGGCAAGTCAGCCTCTCGCTTTTTGGTTTTCTTTAGTTTCACTTTTGAAACATCCATTGTTTTATTAGGACAAGTGGGATGCTTAGATTTGAAATGATACTGCAGATTACACTTCTTGGAAGCTGCATAATCGCATACTGGACAATTGAATTGCCGTGGATTAACATGTAGCTCCACGTGTTTTTTGAAGTTACTTCTATCTGCTGTTTTATAGTCACAGTGTGGGCAGTTAAGCGGTTTAGGCCCATTGTGAACCTGTCTTGCATGGCGAGTCACTTCATGTTGATTAGAGGCCACATAACTGCACTGATCACATTTAAATGGTTTCTCACCTAAAAGTAAACGAGACGTTGAAGACATATTAAAAAATGAATTCAAGATCATTAAAATGTAAGGAATTGGATTATGTTAACAAAAAAAGACCCCACAAAAACTATATATTGAAAAGACTATTTCATGCACTTTACATTTACCATATTTATTTGTATATTTTCTCCATCCCTTGACATTGATTGTGAAACTAAACAAAGAAATAAGTATCTCACAGTCAGCCATCATCACCTAAAAATTTCATCAACGTAGGGCTCTCAACAACTACTAAAGAGCAGATATTTGTTAATACACAACAATTACTGGCCAAGTTCAGCTCTCAATTTTGGAGCAAGGACTCTTAAAGAAAATAACTTCAAATGTTTTATGTTTAGTTAAAAAAAAGTCTAAGGGAGTGGAATATAAAATTCAGATATTTTATAGATAAGTCTTGAGACTTCAAAGAAATAACTTATACTCTAAGCTACCCTCCCAGACCTTTGATACAAATTTTAAACATTTTGTTAGCTGAAACTGGTTTGGCTCAGTGGATAGAGTGTCAGCCTGCGGACTGAGTGGTCCTGAGTTGATCCTGGTCAAAGGCATGTATAATACTCTGGTTGCGGGCACATCCCCAGCGGGGTGTGTGCAGGAGACAGCTGATCGATGTTTCTCTCTCATCGATATTTCTAGCTCTCTATCCCTCTCAATTCCTCTCTGTAAAAAAATCAATAAAATATATTTTAAAAAAACAACAGCACTGTGTTTGCCTCAGGAAGCAAATGGCCTTTTTCCCCTTTAAATTTAACCCTTTTATCCATCAAGGCAAAAGCTGAGTCAAGCCTCATTCAGCAAATTTTCCCAATGCCAAAGATGCTATTTAAAAGCAAAAATACAGCCTAGTCAGAAATCTTTCCTTGATTTTTACCCACCTTCTTTTTTAAAAACGGCCAAAAAAAAACTAGGTAAATTTGAAGGAGCATACAAATAGATATGGTATGTAAAAAAAAGCAAAGTAATAATCACAGGTACATCACAGAACCACAACAACCCATAACCCCAAATTAAAGGCATAAGAGTAACATATTCTACCTGAATACATACCCATCTAGATCACACACTAGCAAATATTACCAAGTGGTATCCATACCCCACTGGTCCAATGGAATGCATAGTAGAAAAACGGAAATTGACATTTATAAAAATTCATCTCTCAAACATTCTCAAATTCATATTACATCTTAATATTTTCATGAAGCAAAGCTATTCAGACATTAAGTAAAACAATGTAGATGTAGATGGCATGCTTTACATGATTAGAAAGTGATGATAAAACACTTGATCACAGAAATAAATACGTATCCAAGTACATCATATTGGACATGTAGCTAAGTGGACAACTCTTCCATGTTGGACAACTCTTCCATGTTAGTTCACTAACAAATTTGTAAGCAGGTTTCTACAACATGCTACATTACTCCATAGTGCTTGGCCGTACCTTGTTCTCTCTCCAGTGAATCACCTCAATGGAGACAAGCATTTATTTTACATATACAGACAAGACTAGGCAAACATAGGTGACCTAATAGTTAAGAACTGTTTTGGAGTAAAAATATCTAGGTGATCAAATATGGGATTCTGTAACTTACTGTGAGATCTTGAGTATGGTACTGAAAACTCTCTAAAGGCTCATTTCCTCATCTGTAAAATATTCTTTTCTTTTTCAAAATTTTATTTGAATTTACTGTTGTGACTTGATGGTTAATAAAATTATATGGGTTTCAGGTGTACACTTAATCTAATATTTAGATAATTTAGCCATATAAACACTTAGCATGGGGAGTTAGCCAGGCACTCTATATACATTACCTGTAGTAACTGGTTAAATTTTTAGTATTGGGGGAAAGGGTGGAGTCATCATATCCTGCCTATCCACATAAACCCTACCTCTGAATAAACATCTGTGATAATTATAAGGAAAACAACCCCATTTTGAAAACCCTAGTGAATGAGGGTATTTACATAGCAAGCATTAGTTAAGGTATGGGAAGATGTAGAAATCTGTTTAAAATTTGAGGGCAGCATAATTTACTTGCTCCAATTTCTTTCTATTGTAATAAAATCCTGCTTGTATTAGAAACCTATTCACCCCATTTTATAGCTTAATATAAAATCCCTTGCCCTGTACCAACTCTTTAACTTAACTCCCTTTTCCAATTCTAGTAATATAAGGTGGGGCTTTAATATAAGGTGGGGGTTTTATAAACCTACTTTTGTATGTTTACAGTTGTTGAGTTCACAAAACATAGTATTTATTATTTATTATCTTACTAGAGATCCGGTGCACAAAATTCATACACTGGGGGTGAGTTGGGGGAGGGGGAGCACAGCGGCCCCTCAGCCTGGCCTACACCCTCTCGCAGTCCAGGACCCCTCACTCCTTACCTACCGCCTGCTCGTTACTCCTTACCATTCAGCTCGCTGCTCCCTAGCACTGCTGCTGCCACGGAGGAGTCAGGCTCCTGCCATCACTGCTGCACTCACCAGCCATGAGCCTAGCTTCTGGCTGTGTGGCACTCCCCCCGTGGGAGCACGCTGACCACCAGGGGGCAGCTCCTATGTTGAGTGTCTGCCCCCTAGTGGTCAGTGCACATCATAGCAACGGGTCATTCTGCTGTTCGGTCAATTTGCATATTAGGCTTTTATTATATAGGACTAGAGCCCAGTGTGCAATATTGCACGAGAACCAGACCCAGACTGACTCTCGCCGCTCCAGGATGGATGCAGGACCCAGAGTCAAGTCCCGCCCACCCTCGTGCACCTTGCCGTGCATGTAGCCTCTGGTGACCAGTCTTTGGTTATGACAGTGTGATGGCATCAGGGCCAAAGGGTTTTTATAATAGATTATTTTCCACAAAACAACTGTAAACCTACTTTTGCCCCATCTGTATTTACCCGTTTTTCACCTTTATAAATGTATAAGATTATCTATTGTATTCTTCCCAAATTAATTTATAGGTGTATGGCAAATTCAAAAGGGGAAAGAATTTTTTATTAAGTTAAACATGTTATCATCAAAAATAATTCAGTACTGGTTGGTGTGGCTCAGTCAGCTGACCATCCCATGCACCAAAAGATTGCTGGTTTGAATCCCAGTCCATACATGCCCAGGTTTTGGATTCAATCCCCAGTAGGAGGCATGCAGGAGACAGCCAATTAATGTTTATCTCCCTCTCCCAATCTCAAAATCAATAAAAACATATTTTTAAAAAATGAAGTATGGTATAGTTTTTTGTTTGCTTTAAAGAATAGTTAAGAAAGAACAGCAAAGAAGTCTGGCCATTGTGTCACAGTGGTTGAGCATAAATCTATAACCAGGAAGTGAAGGTTCAATTTCTACTCAGGATATATGCCCAGGTTGCAGGCTCAATCTCTAGTAGGGGGCAAGCAGGAGGCAGCCAATCAATGATTCTCTCATCATTAATGTTTCTCTCTCTCTTTCCCTCTCCCTCTCTGAATTCAATAAAAATATGTATTAAAAAAAAAAAAAAAAAAAAACCTTAAAAAATAACAATTAAAAAAAAACATATAGCAAAGAAAATCTAAAAGCAACAGTTAGCACACTCAAAATTGTTCAGGCAAAATTCTTAAAACACCACAGATACTTATACAATGACAACTATTTCAATGAAGATACAAATACTTTGTCATTCTAATAGTACGGGTCAACCAGATATATGACTTTACATCATGAATTTACATTTAATTTCTGGCTTATAAATAATATAAGGCACAGGGAAAGAGAAAAAAATAAATGATACCATGAAAAATCAAATAAGGACAAATCCAGAAGGTAGGCATTCTACAAGAAAAATAGTCACATTTCTTCAATGCCTTAGTTTCCACATTTGTAAAATGGAAATAGCCCGGCCTGTGCCCTCTTACAGCCTACGACCCCTTGGGGGATGTCCACGGGAGGATCAGGCCTAAGCCAGCAGTCAGACATCCCTCTTGCAGTCCGGGACCCCTTGCTCCTTACTATCCGCCTACAACGGAGGCAGGAGAGGCTCCTGCCACCTCTGCTGTGAGCCTGGCTTCTGGTTGAGCAGTGCTCCCCTGTGGAAGCACACTGACCACCAGGGGGCAGCTCCTGCATTGAGTGTCTTCCCCCTGGTAGTCAGTGAATGTCACAGCGATTGGTCATTCCACTGTTCGGTCAATTTGGATATTAGGGTTTTATTATATAGGTAGGATAGTTATATAAATTAACTCATGTAAAGCTCTTAAATGTTTTATTTAAGGGATAGAGCATACTGTCTACCAACAGGACATATGTCTATTAGCCTCAACAAAGCTTGAGATATCAAGATATCATCCAAGTTACCCTCAAAAAACGAAACCGGTTTGGCTCTGTTGATAGAGCATCTGCCTGTGGACTGAGAGGTCCCGGGTTCGATTCTGGTCAAGGGCATGTACCTTGGTTGCGGGCACATCCCCATGGGAGGTGTGCAGGAGGCAGCTGATCGGTGTTTCTCTCTCATCGATGTTTCTAACTATCCCTCTCTCTCCTCTCATCTCTGTAAAAAAAACAATAAAATATATTTTAAAAAAAAAAAAAAGAAAGAAAGAAAGAAAGAAACCAGGAAATACTGCAAAGTAACATAGCCAGGTTCTGGTTAAGTGATCCAACTTGATAGCTTTGGAAATTTAGAAGGCATAAAGTATATATTAACATGACAAGCATAGAGGGTCAAGAAAGGCTAGCAAGCATAGTATGTGACCCCTTCATAATTACACAAATCAGAATCTGTGCTATAATCAGTCTTATCTGATTATAAGACTGATTATAGCACAGATTGACATAAGACAGCTATATTCAATAACAATAAAATGCAAGCAAGCACCAGCTTGGCTCAGTGGTTGAGTGTCAACCTATGAGTGGAAGTTATGGTTCAATTCCCAGACAGGGCACATGCCCGAGTTGCAGCTTGATCCCCAGTGTGGAACTTGTAAGAGGTAGTCAATCAATGATTCTCATAACTGATGTTTCTCTCTCCCTCTCCCTTCCTGTCTAAAATCAATAAAAACATATATATATATATTTTTTTTTTAATGTGAGCAACATATTTAATTTTAAATTTTCTAGTAGTCACATTACAAACATAAAAATGAATTTACTTTTTAACTTAATATATTCAATATTATGTCAACACGTAATCAATATTTTAAAAAGAGTCTTTGCATTTTCTCCATACTGTTTGAATTTTATACAACTCAATTCAAATCAACCACATTTCACAAGCAGCTCGTGGCTACCCAATTGGACACACAGATTTATAGTAACCGTTAACTTAAGAGTGGTAGGTCTACATTAACCATATCAAACTCACGGCCCTCAATGAATATTTTGTGGTCCAGCCAATATAACAGTATGTAAGAAACATTTTTAAAAAAAATTTTGAAACTTAACTTTTACAATATCCTGTTATACATAATTATCAATAACAAACTACAATGTTGCTAATAACTATTTACTATAATAATGTTGCATTCATATCCCTTACATGACTTACACACAAGTGCACCATTTCTCTCCACTAATACTAGTAGCAAATATTTTAGCAGCTGTTTGCCATCATTAGTCTTGTTTGGTGTGCACAACAGAAAATATTTTGAAAACAAGAAAAATAGGTTATTTGCATTACGCTTTTTAATTTGTGCAGTTATTCAGTATCTAGTTAAGTTAATGTTCAAGAAAAAATATTAATTTTTACTTATATGTTCTATTGTTTTGTTAATGATTACTCAATTTATTTCAGCCTTTTGTATTCAGTATGTGTCTATCAAAATAAACCTAAGTTTCTATGAAAATTGAAGCTTTTGTTTCCTTGCAGCCCACATAAACTTAAAACTTATTTGGCCCATGTTAGCCTTTGAGTTTGACATGCTTGGTCTACATAGATGTTTGTAAACAACAAAATTGTACTTAGTATAGTTTACCCACAGGGGTACATATACGTATATTCTAAATCTGAAGAGACATGGCAGTTCACCAAGGGTCAATCATGGTCAAAATGAAATAACTACCAATCACAAGACCACCTATGCTAATACTTTTAACTCGGCCAGCTTGATAATTGGGTCCAATTCTGATTGGTGATCTTGATCTTGTACTGTAGTACAAGAATCTCCTACTAGTTACTGTCTGAACTTGATCTATTATAGGCTAATAAGTTAATACCTCAGGTTATGTATAATTCTTTAAAGGTAGGCTTTTGTAATATCTCAGGTTATGTATAATTCTTTAAAGGTAGGCTTTTCTGATAAGTCCTCAGAAAAGCCTTATCAACTTTCAAAATAGAACAAATCCAAATTTCAAGACCTGAGAGGCTCAGAAGGAATCCCTAGACCCTGGCAACCACACACTATGAAATTTGGTGTCATACTGTGTTGAAGAAAAAATATGAAAAGTAGGAGTGTTCAAATAGCACTAACCAGCCATGGTCTACGATATCAGTTCAACTTGTGTGTCACCGAACTTATTGAAGAGCTAATGAAAATTAAGGACCCTCCTCCACAGAAAAGTGCACATGCATTTACATTTACAGGAGTTCCATCTAGGGACTCAGTAAGAATCTCCTCTTTAAATACAACTCCACAGGAGTAGAATACTGATTTTTAACTAGTTTCTAAATTATATTTTAAAAATGTAATCATAAATAATTACCCAGTTTCAGGTCTAGTACTTCCTTATAATGGTAGTTTACTATAAATGATAGCAAAGTTCCCATTCTTACCAACCTGAATGAGTACGCATATGTCTAGTTAGATGAGTCTTCTGAGAACTTGAGTAAGGGCAAAGTTCACATTTATATGGGCGCTCTCCTGCAAAAATATAATTAATGTTTTTAATATGATAAAATAAGGCAAGCATAATTCTCACTAATATATACAATAACCAATACTGTGTATTTTCTAACAAAGTTATTTTACTATTCCTGGCACATAGTCAATTTATGTAAATGTATTAAAAATGTAAGTTATTTCATGCCGAAACCGGTTTGGCTCAGTGGACTGAAGGGTCCCGGGTTCGATTCCGGTCAGGGGCATGTACCTTGGTTGCGGGCGCATCCCCAGTAGGGGGTGTGCAAGAGGCAGCTGATTGATGATTCTCTCTCATCGATGTTTCTAACTCTATCCCTCTGTCTTCCTCTCTATAAAAAAATCAATAAAAAAATATATTTTTTTTAAAAAGTAAGTTATTTCATATAGGGTTTACATAACTACATCATTTCAACTTTGCTGACACTAGCTTTCTGAATTCTACAGCACTTTTAATTTTCACAGAAATACTACATATTATTACATTAAACTTGTTGATTTTTTTAGAGAAAGGAAGGAGAAAGAGAGCAATTTGTTGTTCCATTTATGTATGCATTCATTGGTTGATTCTTTTTTGTGCCCTAACAGGCTGGGTAACCAACTAAAGCTACCTGGCCAGACTATATTAAATGTTAACTACTGAGAAATTATCTTGATAAGGCATCAAGGAGCATTTTTTTTTTTAATTTAGAACTATCCTTAAAGAAAATCTACCCAAATATTTTTATGCTATGGCTTGGTTAACTTAATCATTGATCAGCTACCTCCTAAATGACCCTTACTGGGAATCAAGTTCACAACCCAGGCATGTGCCCCTGAAGGGAATTGAACCCAGACCTTTCAGCCCACAGGCCAACACTCTATCCACCACTGAGCCAAAACAGCTAAAGGTTAGCTTTTTAAAAGTCCTTGTAAAAATGATAAATCTAGCCCAGCAAGTGTGGCTCAGTGGTTGAGCATCAACCTTTGAACCAGGAGGTCAAGGTTCGATTCCCAGTCAAGAAATATGCCCAGTTTTCGGGCTCGATCCCACTGTAGGGAGCAGCCGATCAATGATTCTCTCTCATCAATGATGTTTCTCTTTCTCTCTCCCTCTCCCTTCCTCTCTGAAATCAATTTTTAAAAAAAACTTAAAAAAAAAAAAAGGATAAATCTACCATTTGAAATTGTTATAGTTTAAAGCAAGAATGCTTTTGAGCAGGGATTTTGTTGTGTTTAGCTAAAAGGTTCCAGTGGTAGATTCAGCTGTTATGAAATGCAGTGTTAAAACAAAGTTTATTCATTAAAGCCATAGGGACAGAACAAGTGAAGATGAGAGGCCAGTGATTTAGTACTGAAGAATTTAAGACACAAAGACAGGAAATATGTCTGTTTTTGAGTGTGGGTTGTCAACCACAACATTTTTTTAAGTTTGAAAATTTGTTTCATCTACTCTTTGGCCATAAAATAATAATTATGACCTTGAGGAAGTTTCTGCAACTAGAAAAGTAACAGTACCCTTACTTCTTAGGATTGTGAGAATTTAATACATGCAGTGTACTTAACACTGTGTCTTGGCACATATAAAGCCCTCAATAAATATCAGTTATTACTTTTTGTCTACATAGTAAGATATAGCAATACATGTCTAATAAAATTAAGAAAGGAACAGAACAAAAATGAAGAATGTGGTGATAAGTGAGAAATGTAAATCTAACTGTTCAACTGTAACTGGGTGGTAGCTATAGATTAGCTGTAAATAACTCATAGCATAGAATGACTACTTTTATCTGAAAGAGTTTTAAGATAGTTTTTTAAAATATTAAAAGTAGTTCTTTACAGAAGATCCAAGATCCACAAATGGCCAATAAGAAAATGGAAAAATGCACAATATCATCAGCCATGAGGAAAATGAAAATCAAAATAAGATCAAAACTTCACACCCACTTGGTTGCCTACAATCAAAATGGTAGATATTAATAAATATTGGCTAGGATGTGGAGAAATTGGAACCCTTATACATTACTGGGATTGTAAAATTAATGCAGCCACTTCAGAAAATAATTGGCAGTTCCTCAAATGAGTAAACAATAGTTACCCATTTGGCACAGCAATTTCATAGATAAATTTAAAAAACAAACAAAAAACTTTTGTCCGCTCAAAAATTTGTTCGAGAAATATTCATACTAGCACCTTTCATAATAGCCAGAAAATGGAAACAATCCAAACACCCAGTAACTGATGAATAATGTTGTGCACCCAAGGAGACATATGTAATACTTTAAACAATAAAGATTTTTAAATTTTTTTAAAAAAACATTTTGTACCCATAAGAATTTATGTGGCAATTATTCAGTGGGTGTACATTTTTAGGATACCTTATATATGAAATGTCCAGAACCGGCCTATCCATAGTGAATTGTATGATATGTAAATTCTATCAAGCTGTTATTCTAAAAGTTAATGAAATAAAAATTAAATACTACTGTAGATTAACATGAAGAGTCAATAAAGGATAATTTTCTTTTAAATTCTTTATAACAAAATAGATTGATTCTATCTGGGCAATTCTATATACTATAGGCACAATCTACAAAACAATGATTTCTCAGCACACATACAGGCAAAAATGTCATCTTTTAAAGTAAAATTTGTGACCCTGACCAGGTAACTTAGTTAGTTATAGTGTTGTCCAGATATATCAAGGTTGCTGGTTTGATCCCCGTCAGGGCACAATGAATGCATAGATGGGTGAAACAAATTAATCTCTCTTCCTTCCTTTCTCTCTATAAAAAATAAAAATATCAATATAAAATAAATAAAGTACAATTTGTGAACTGATTAAATACCTAAGCCACAAAATTAAAAATCTTTTTACTTAAGACTCTAATGAAAACAATCCTCAGCCCCTACTATACTAATTACCTATAAAGGTATTGGGATTGCCCTAGCCGACATGGCTCAGTGGATAGAGCATCGGCCTGCAGACTGAAGGGTCCCAGGTTCGATTCTGGCCAAGGGCACATGCCTGGGTTTCGGGCTTGATCCCCAGTAGGGGGAGTGCAGAAGGCAGCCGATCAATAATTCTCTCATCATTGATGTTTCTCTCTCTTTCTCTCTCTCTCCTCCCTTCCTCTCTGAAATAAAGAAATTAAAAGAGAGAGAGAGAGAGAGAGAGAGAGAGAGAGAGATTGGGACTTTGAATCTCTTATGACTTTGGGCCCAGCACTTCAAGCTTTTAAACAATAAGTTTCCTCTCAGTAAGTAATCAAAGGCTAAAGTCTGGCAAACCCGGTTCACTAATGGATTGTTCTGAAGATTAGCATAGAATAGAATAAAGTACCTAGCATTTATTACTCAATAAAATAAGAAACCCACTTACTCTGAAAACTAGGCTACTGTCAGCTACATTATGAAAAATGAGAAATAAGTGATTCTGCTGTCATTCCTTATCTCTACTGTTTAGCACTAAATTTATTTTTTTATAAATACAATTTTTAGAGCCATGCATTTAACAGCAGAGATACTCTTACAATTTACATAACCAAATTATGTACCTTCCATTTATATACCACCAAATTGCGTGGTGTTTTTTTTTGTTTTTGTTTTTTATCACAAGATAGGAAGCTCTGGAGATCTTGCTTCCTAGTCTTTGTCATCAGTTTGGGCTCAAATAAAAATTTTCCAAAAAATTAAATAAAATAAAAATCACAAGGTAATAGGATGGAAAAATCTTTTTAGAAAATATAAAGACCAAATCGGTTTAACAATAAAATTGAAATCCACACAACCAGTGTCAGCTATGTAAAGTATAATCTTATTGTGAAAATATCAACCTCAAATTCATGTGGAGAACCGAAACTGGTTTGGCTTAGTGGATAGTGTTGGTCTGCGGACTGAGGGGGTCCCACGTTCCATTCCGGTCAAGGGCATGTACATTGGTTGTGGGCACATCCCCAGGGGGGAATGTGCAGGAGGCAGCTGATCAATGTTTCTCTCTCATCAATGTTTCTAACTCTCTATCCCTCTCCCTTCCTCTCAGTAAAAAAAAAAAAAAAATCAATAAAATATATTAAATAAAAAAAAAGACCAATGAGAGAGAATCATTGATCTGTTGCCTCCTGCATGTATGTCCTTTCCACACACTCCCCCCTCACCCCAGATTGAGCCAGCAACCCAGATATGTGCCTTGACCAGGAATCAAACCATGACTTCCTGGTTCATAGGTCAATGCTCAACCACTGAGCAACACCAGCTGGGCTACTTGACCAGATTTTAAAACTTTAAATGCAGAAGCAATCTTCTGGGGCTTAGAAATCTTGCTGCAGGCTTCTTTCCTTCAATGGAATTTCACCTCCAAGTTTAAAATCTACCACTCACGCAATGCAACATCCATTTACCTCCCCAGTGTCCCACTTTTACTTGTGGGATTCAGTTCTACAGAGAGAACTCCTACAACCAAACAGCATCCCAATAGTCCCTTTTCATTTATGACCCAAGAATACAGTACTAGATTGTTCAGACCAATAATCAGACCTCAAATGTTAACAACCCATACCAGGAAAATGTAATGTAAATTAAAATAACTACCAGCCTGGCCACAATGGTTGAGTATTAACCTATGAACCAGTAAGTCAGGTAGGGTTCACTTCCCCTCAGGGCACAAGCCAAGTTACAGGCTCAATCCCCAGTAGAGGGCGTGCAGGAGGCATCCAATCAGTAATTCTCATTAACGTTTCCCTCTTCCTTCCTCTATGAAATCAATAAAAATGTTTTTTAAAATTAACTACCTATAGTTACATTTATTTGAAAAACGTGAGCTGAAACCGGTTTGGCTCAGTGGATAGAGCGTCTGACTACGGACTGAAGGGTCCTGGGTTCAATTCGGTCAAAGGCATGTACATTGGTTGTGGGCACATCCTTGGTGGGGGGTGTGCAGGAGGCAGCTGGTCGATGTTTCTCTCTCATAGATGTTTCCGACTTTCTGTCCCTCTCCCTTCCTCTCTGTAAAAAATCAATAAAATATATATTTTTAAAAACATGTGAGAAAGCCAACAATTAAGAGGTACTGAAGAAAAATGGGAAGTGACTACTGAAAGTTTCTTTTTGGGTGAAGATGTCCTAAAATTGATAGTGGTGATGGCTGCAAAACACTGCGAATACGTATATTTAATTGAACTTATTGGGGTGACATTGGATAATAAAATTATATAGGTTCCAGGTCTAATATACCAACTGTATAATGTATTATGTTCACCACCTTCTGTCAAGTCTCCTTTCATTACCATTTATCCCCATACCTTTTTTTTTTTGAAGTGAACGTATCAAGATTTTATTGTCATATAATAAAAAATATAAAGCTTAGAATTGGATCACTTGACCCTTTCTCTTCTTTTCTCCTCCCAGTTCAAAATGCTTGCATCTCTTAATAGCCAGCATTTTGAGATCTGCAGTTGGGCTCAATACATTCAAACCTCAGCACAATCTTCTTGGTAGTTTTAACCTTCTTCAGAAAATGGGCTTAGTCTGCCCATCGTCACCACTCTGCTTCCTGTCATATGCCGCTTTCCCTGCGCATTCAGAGAATCCCTGCCCTTCTTGTACTGTTACTTTGTGGGAGTGATGCTTGCCACACTTCTTCCCCTACTATCCTTCCCGTCTGGTAATTATCATGGTGTCTGTTTTCTATTTTGTTTATTAGATTCCACATATTAAGTGATATGGTACTTGCCTTTCTTTGACTGGCTAACTTCACCTGGCATAATTCTCTCCAGCACTGTGAATATATTAAAACCACAGAGCCATAACTTTAAATGGATGAATTGTGTGGCAGTAGAGTATATCTCAAAAAGTTGTTGTTGTTGTTTTTTTAAAATGAATTGCAAAATGTGACAAAATATTTTTAATTGTTGGGTGTAGATGATGGGTATATGTTGGTGCAGTGTAGCATTCTCTTTATTTTGAGATATTTGCAATTGCTCATATTTTTAAGATTGTCCCACTTTTTTTGAAAGAAGGCACTTACTTATAAATTAGAAAGGTCCTCTTACCTGTGAGTTCAAATAAGTTGAACATTACTTTTTGTTTGAAAAATAGTTGCATTTTCCACATGTGGTTGCTTTCTTAGGAAAATAATTTGAGTGATAATGCCATCAATGCTTTAAAAACTTCTCACATTTGTGTTTTGGGGACAAGTTGTTCCATTTAGGAGCTCAATATCCCAAGTCAAATGTTTTAAATAGTTTGAGGCTCTGATAAATGTGGTTATGCAAGGGTTATTTTTTTTTTCCTTTTCTTTTTTTAAATATATTTTATTGAGTTTTTACAGAGAGGAGGAGAGAGGGACAGAAAGCTTTAGAAACATCGATGAGAGAGAAACATGGATCAGCTGCCTCTTGTACACCCCCCACCGAGGATGTGTCAGTAACCAAGGCACATGCCCCAGACCAGAATCGAACCCGGGACCTTTCAGACTGCAGACCGATACTCTATCCACTGAGCCAAACCAGTTTCGGCCCTTTTTTTCTTTCTTTCTTTCTTTCTTTTTTTTTTTAATTCCTTTGGAAAACTACTGTATGCATCTAGATGATTCACTCCCAACTAAATACATCTCCTAACAAAAACAGTAGTCTCATCTGAGTACATGGTCTATCCCAAGTTGTTAAGAGTATGTATTTTAAAGAAAGAACATTGATAAGATTTCTCTTGAATATTCTTCCATATAACAGTCAGTACTTGATTTGTGTTCCTCACTAGATCCCTTAATTCTATAATATAGTTACCTCCATGAAGAAACTGAGGCACAGGGAATAAATAACATGTTCAAAGGTCACAAAGACAGCAAATAATCGAATCAGGGTTTGAACCTAGTCCCACCCACCTTTTTACTGTTAACTACCCACTCAATTAACTATCGGAGCTGAGTTGAAATTATGGCCTACAAAGGTCCTCTTACCTGTATGAGTTCGAACATGCTGAACGTAATTGTTTTTTCTGTCTGAAAAATAGTTGCATTTTTTACATGTGTACACTTTCCTTGGAAAATGGTTTCTTAGGTGTTTTCTCCAGTGATATTCGCTTACTGTGGTGTATGTGCAGATGATGCACTTGTAGACTCGCTCATTATCACCAGCTCTAGTGTGGTGTTTCAAGTGAGCAGTATAGTGATCGTATCGATTGGTATTGTAGCCACAGCGGTCACAGCGAATGGGGCCTTTGGAGAAATCTCCCTCTTCAGCAGTGGAAGAGCCAGGCTCCCTGGCTTTTGCTTGCTTCTCTGCACTTTCTTCCACAAAAAACTTCTTGGCGCTGTGAACTCTGATGTGATGCACAAACTGTTCTTCAGATTCCGCTTCATATTGGCATGGCTTACAGCGAAAGGGTTTGGTCTTCAAGGTCTTGCCTTTGTCCTCTGCTCCAGGTGTCTCGGGAGGAAGCTCTTTATTTGAGCTGTAAACTTCTGGGGCAGCTGAGACCTCAAACACAGGCTGTGGTTCTGCAACACTGAGTTCCAAACTTTCCAGTTCCATGTTTTCCAGGCCACTGTGACAACCTTTGACTTCAGGAGACTCCTCAAGTCCTTCTCCATCACTATCGGAGAAGTTGTTATCCCCAACAGGCATCAACTCTGCCATCTGCCTCTCTTCGCCAACGAGGTAATCGCAGCAGCTGCCATTGACTTCCCCGGTTAAGGCCACATTTGCCAACATGATGAGCTGAGGAGCAGCCAATTCCGCTTTGGAGAGGTCATGCAAGTCATACATATCGTTAGGCAAGGCCATGCCCATGTTGCCACTGCCATTGAACAGCCCTCCTCCTCCAGAAGACTGCCCCATTACCTGGGTGGCCATGGCTGTATTCTGAATTAGAAACAAGACAAAACACAAAAGCACCCGTTTAAACACAACTTTTACTGGTCTAAAACCAAAACGTTACCATAATTCGTCATATCTTTTAAAAAATACATTTCCAATATAATCTCTAAACTCAATGAACTCCATCAACTTACTAGAAAGAAGCCTTTAAAATCTTTTTGTTAATTTCAAATTCTTTACTGCCTAATCGAAAAAATATTGTCTATTACCCCTCCGAAAAACTTTATCAAATCTGTGACATAATTAGGTCCACCAAGTAGGTCTACCACTGGCAAGCACTTTTTTTCTGGTGCAAAAAACAAACAAAACGGAAGCTTTCGTTTTTAATGTTAAACTTACTCCTAAATTCAATAGGCGAATAGTAAAAACTAGTCTCCCAAATCCTCCTTCAACATTTACTGGTCTGATCAGAAAAGGGAGAAATCCAAAAGCCAGGCAAGGCAAACATGGCTAGAAAGTAGAAGCCTGTAATACACGGGTCAACTGAACTGAAACTTACATTCCCTCAACTAACTCCAGAGGAGTAAAAGTACTACTTTGTTTCTTACTTTCTTGCCGTTTTGACCTGTTTGAGGGGAGGGGGGAAAAAAATTACGGACCCTTTTTTTCCTACGAAAAAAAGCAAGTCTGGTGTACTCAAAACTTCACAAATGAAACATAATCTTCCAAACCACCTACTTAAAATTATCCTACAACCCAGCTCGACCATCAGCAACTTTCTGGCATTGTGTTCGCCTTGGCCTACTTGCCTAGTGGAAGCCATTACAAGATCACCTTCTTGAAAACAGGCAGCAGGGCCTTTTAACTCGTCTCAAACCAGGTCCCACTCCCCAGGCACTCTATAGTCTCAAAGTAGGCCTTCTCTTGCACATTAGACAAATCAGAAACAAGTGGCAAGAACGAAAAAAGTTTAATCCAAAATTCAAAATTCAAAAAAAAAAAAAAGTGATCCGTTTCAGCGAAGCGTAATGAACGCGAGCGGGGCTGAGTTATAACGTCCCCGCAAAAGTTGGGACTCGAATGCCATCACAGAACACAAACCGAGGGCAAAAGCTTCCAGTCCCAAGGCTTCCAAACATCGGCATTTACCCAAACATCGGCTTTCCTAAGAGTCCCCCCCACACCCTAACTCCCACCCCCCGCCCTAAAGAAACCCCAACGTTGGCCCGGAAGGCCGTCCCGGCGGAGCTCCGGGCCCCAGCGTGGTGCGCGGATTCCTGCGCTGCCGCCGCCGCCGCCGGCGCGTCCCGGCTGAAATCGGCATTCGGCCATTTTCTCAAAATACCCAGCACAAAGCGGCTCCGGCAAACTCTCGCTTCCTCTCGGCTCGCCCCGCTCGCGGCACACATCTGCACAGCCGCTCGCGGGAGCTGGCCCCAGCCCTCGTCCCGAAGCCCCCTCTCCTCCCCCTCAAAAAAAAAAAAAAAAAAAAAAGCGAAGGGGGGACCAACTCGGGGCGCCGTGGGGCCAAGACCCGTCTCCCCCAGGGCAGCCCCCTCCCCGGCCCTCGGACCCGCGTTTGGGGAGAGGAAAGGGAAGAGGAAAGTTACCGCGTCGCCGGCGTCTCCGCTCCTCCGCTCCTCTCCCGGCTCCGGGGCGAGCCCTCCGCCCCTCGAGGCCCCAGACGCTCCGCGGCGCCGGCCCCGAGCTCCGGCGGGGCCCCCCCAACGCGCGCCCGCCGCCCCCCGGAAGTTTGCGGACTCACTCGGCCGCGGCGCCCCGCGGGAGGACGCGCGCCCCGGCCCCGCCGCCGCGGGAGGCCAGGCGGCCGGGCGCGGAGCGCGGCGGCGGGGAAACGGCCCGAGAGCAGAAATCGCTGTCCAGCCCCATTGGCGGCGCCGCCCGGGCCCCGGGCTGACTCAACCCGCCCCGCCGCGCTCCACGGCGCCTTCCGGCGGGAGGGAGGCCGCGCAGGGAGGGGGCGGCGGGCGGCGGGCGGCGAGGGGCTGCGGCGGGCCCTGGGGGCGGCGGGAGGGCGAGGAGGAAGTTTCAGGACCGGGGCCCCAGGCAGCGCCGCGCCCGCGGCCTCCGCACCCGACTCCGCAGGCGCCCGGGCCGCGCGGGGGCAGAGGCGGCCGCGGCGGGGTGGGGAGGGGGTCCCGGCGCCGCGCCGCTCCCCTCCGGACGCCCCCCGGCCCAGCCCCCCGGGGCCCGCGCCGGTGTAACCCGATCCCGCCCCGCCGCCCGCCCCCGTTCGCCGCCGGAGCCACAGTATCTGCAAATCAGCCCTGGACAGCGCCTCGCTCCGCGTCCTTCCGCGCCCTCCCCCTCCCGCCGCCGCCGCCGCCGCCCGGCCGGCCGGCCGGCCCTCCCCCACCCGCCCGAGCCCCCCGGCCCCGCGCCGCGCTTACCGGCCTTCCTCGGCCAGGAGGGGCTGCGGACCTGGCGTCGCCGCTCCTTCTCCGACTACTTTTCTTTGTTGCAGGAGTTTCGGGGGAGGAAGGGGGGGAGGGAGGGAGGGTGGAAAAGTTGGGCGTCCGGGCCCGCGAAGGCCCGAGAGTGGGGGGTTGGGGGGGCTCAGGCCGCGGGCTCTCCTCGCCCTGCTGTCCCGGCCGCCGCCGCCGCCGCCGAGGTCTGGGGTCCGGGGCCTCGGCGGCGTTCGCTCTGCTGCTGCTGCTGCTGCTGCTGCTGCGCCGCAAGCTCGCGGGAGCCGCACATTCCAGCACAGGAGGCTGCGCCGCGCACCCGGCCCGCGCCGCCGCCGCCGCCGCCCGCGGGACACGCCCCCTCCGCCGCCCGCGCGCGCCCGCCGGACACGCCCTCTCCGCCTCCGGACACGCCCCCTCCGTCGCCGGACACGCCCCCTCCGCGGCCCGCGCGCCTGGCCGCTGGGCGCGCCCCGCCCCTTGGCCAAGGTGCGGAGCGCTGGGCCTGAGCGGGGCTGGGGAATGGGTGCTCCTAGGGGCAACCGCACCTCATCCGCCCCGGGACCCTCACTGCTCGGCCCTTAGGTCAAAAAAGAAGGGAAAAAAGTAAATAAAAAGCAAGCCGAGCTCTCCTGGATCTCTTCTTACAGAAACAACGGGGAAGTCAGCCCCCAGCCCGGGGCGTGCACACTGGAGAATGGAGCTGTTCAAAGAGAAATCTGCAGGCTTAACCCAGACCCTTGAGAACTATTGTCACCCGCCTTTCAAGTCTGAAAGCACTCGAAAAGACCCTTCCTAATCTCTTCCAAGGCTCCACCCATAGCCACTTGACTAATTAAACTCGGCTTTTTAAGCTTCCACAGTAAAAAATGCAGTCTACGTTTTGAACAGTACACGAGGGGAAAAAAAATGCAGTCGGTTCTTGAGTTGTGAGAAGAGAGAGAGACTCCAAACAAGATGAGTTAATGAGCGGACAAATCCGTAGACGTAGGAGGTCATTGCGGAGCCTTCAGAGCACGGCTTCGGTGGAGAAGTTGCCCTCAGAACACAGAGGGTAAGGAAGGGTGAGGAGGACGTGGAGGCTGTCTGGTGACCGTGGGTCGGAAGGAGCCTGACTTCCCACGTTTTATGGAGTGACCATGCATCATGCCAGGCACACAGTAATATGGGAGAGAGGTCTATGCATCCCTTTCCTTCACTTTACACCAGAACTGCCTTCTTAGTCTGTCTTTGATGCTTTAAATCATCAGTGCTCAGAAGCTTAATGGCTCCCATAAACCACCTAGGGTGGCATTCAAGACCCTGAGTAATCTTCTCTACTGGCAGATAAATTGGACTGCCAATAGTATTATAATAGAGGTAGCAGCAAGTGCTAAATAGGGATTCAGAGTAGGGAAGTGGTTCCTAACTAAAAGGATCTAGTAGTAGATTAGATCCAGTTTTCTAATTTGGCCTTGGAGAATTTCAACAAGTGAAAGTAGGTGAAGGAACATTCTATACACACACACACACACACACACACACACACACACACACACACAAAACAGCAAGCATGAAAACCCATCTATTAGGACTTTCCTAACTCCTACCCTGGTTTCCCCAGTTTCTTTTCTTTTAAGTTCCTTCACTTGTTTCTCTGATGAAAGAACTCCCAGACTCCTAAGTTTCCTGTATCTGACAATATATTATTGACAAGTTCAGCGTCAGATGCAAGATGTAATGTAGGCCTTAAGGTATGTAACACCCAAAAGTTTTGATTACTACTTACTATGAAATACAAGCCCTCCCCATGAATCAAACTTGATAAGTATTAATTTTCATTGATCAAAGAGAGGAGGGAAACACAGAAAGTACAAGAGGAAAAAAGAGAAAGAGCCAAAAAAATAATAATTTAGGCCTAAACTTTTCTACATTTATTCTTTTTAAATTTCTGTTCTCTCTCTCTCTCTCTTGTCTAATTTGAGGTTGCATGGCCTCTAACAAAGCCCTCAAAGACATAAACTGTTTTCTTTTCCTTTTTATGTCCAAAAAGACAAAAATGAAACGTCTTTTTAAACTTACTAGAAATGTCCTTCATTTCTTCTTACTACTTACTGGAAATGTTTTATTAATTCTGAATTACGGTGATACAAATAGAAGAATGCAAATTGGCAGCTGGGTTCATTTAAAATTAGCAGAGGCCCTTGTTCAAAAGATGGCATATTCAGAGTGACCCAAATTATCATGACATGAACACCAAGGTCAAATTCAAGGCCGGGTTACAAATCAATAGAAAATTTCCTTGGGAGAACTTGAATTCTTAATTGTTTTTGCAGGAGGCTGTATTTTACTCTGCTGCATCCAAAATTTAAGATCTTCTGTATGATAAATACTTTAAAAATATGAATGGGTTTTGGTTTTCTTATTTTGAGAATACGGATTATTTCCTACATATTTAATTCATCACTTTTTAAATTTTAATTATATATGTTCTTAATAATATTATTCTCAAGAGGTTTATTTTTTAAATTTGGTAAAATGTAGTTTTTTAATTTCATGTGCTTCTTATTCCTAACCATTTTTTAATTTTTATTTGGAAAAAAGCTTATTTTCTGTAGACCTGCACCCTTG